CTGAGGTGTGGCTGTACTTGAATGGAAAAATAGGTTATTATAGTTGATGTATAGGAGCTATGGAAACAAGGCTAGAAGGGTCATTCAAAAGAATGATGTCGGGAGATCAAAGTGGAAAGGAACATTCAACTGGCGACTAAAAACCAAGATATTCATCAAATCAACGGTACACAAACAGAATGAGAAGGTTTGGTATCAATGTGCAGATTTACCTCCAACTGAAAAGAGGCTGTTTAGCTGTCACAGGGAAATAGTAATGGCAGACATTTTTTGAGTACTTGCTATGTGGCAATCAACAAACTGTTTTATTTTTTAATATAAAAATGATTTTAAATAAACTTTGGGATTAATTTTAGATTTACATAAAAGTTGTAAAGATATAGAGTTCTTTTATTTCCTTCATCCAGGTTCCTGTAACATTAATGTCTTACATAACCATGGTACATTGATCAAAACTACGAAATTAACATTGGTACAATGTGTTTGTGAGAATACCAGAGCTGAGGTGTGCTTGTCATAGCATCCTATCAGGGAGGACACGCTATCGCGATTATCACTGGTGATGTTCACCTCGATCACTTGGTTAAAGTAGTGCTGGCCAGATTTCTGCAATGTGAACTTATTATTTTTTTCCCTTTCTGTACTATAGTCTTTGGAAGCAAGTTGCTGAGTCCAGCCCACACTCAAGGGGAGGGGTATTAAGCTCCATCTCTTCGAAGGCGTAGTATCTACAAATATTATTTGGGATTCTTCTGTAAGGAAAATTTGTCCCTTCTCCCTCATTCACTTATTTATTCAATCATTTATTTATATCAGGATGGACCCATGGATATTTATTTTACTATTTGGGTTGTAATCCAATGCTATCATTATTTATTTTGTTACTCAAATTGTTCAACTTTTGACCATTGGGAACTGTTTTTACACAAATTATTTATTGAATCCTCCAACAATCCAGTGAGGCAGGTATTACCAATATCCTTATTTTTCAGAAAAGGAAACTCAGGCTCAGAAAGTAAGAAACTGGGCCGGCCCCGTGGCTTAGTGGTTAAGTGCGCACACTCCGCTACTGGCGGGCCGGGTTCAGATCCCGGGCGTGCACCGATGCACCGCTTCTCCGGCCATGCTGAGGCCACGTCCCACATACAGCAACTAGAAGGATGTGCAACTATGACATACAACTATCTACTGCGGCTTTGGGGAAGAAAAAAAAAAGTAAGAAACCTTCCCAATGATTCATCTTATATATGTTGAAGCCAGGAGTCTGACTCCAGAGTCTGTGTGCTTAGCTTGTCTATGCTGCTTTCAAAAGGAAAGGGTGCTCTACAAATGTCAGCGATAAGATACCTCTTTTTAGAGGCGAGATAAAAGATTTTGAAGGGCTCCATCATAAAAGTGAAGTAGTTGCAGAAGCGATGAACTTCCAAAGGGACAGTATGTAGAGAAAGAACCACAAATGGTCTGAACCAAACCTGCTGTCAGGTGGGAGGAGGGGAAAGAAGCTAACAAAGGAAAGTGCAGGTTGCAGGACAACTAATATCATGGAAGCGATGGGAAGTAAAAAGTTCACTGGGGGTGCAATCATTTTGGGTGTAGGGCCATAGAGAATCAGCCTATGGTTAAGAGAGTTAAGTGAACTTCAACAAAGCAGTATAACAGAAGAGTGGAAAACAAAACCAGGTTTCAGGAGACCAAAAATTGTTTTAGAGAAAGGAAGTAAAGAAGTAATTTAATAAGAAAAGGGATGCAGGATCAAGTAACTTTTTTGCAGGATGGAGAGAGACCTGTACACAGGGAAGCATAAAGACAGACAAGGAGAGAAAAGGCTCTGAAGGGAAATGTAGGAGCCAAGTGCATGAGAACTGGAAAGGAAGGATGTTAATCTTGGAGTTAGGGGAACCTCGCCTCCTCACATGTTGGAGGTGAGCCTGAGAGACCAAGGAGCATGGTATTGTTGAAGTACAGACACACTTAGGATGTGTTATGGGTTTTTGATGGTCTCAATTTTATTAGTAAAACTGAAAGCAAGGTCGTCTGCACACACTGGGAGAAAAACGAGAGGTATTGCCTAGTGCTGTGAGTAGCTAACATCCCTAGGTCACCGTTGGGCAGGCTTGGTGAAAAGGGGGCAAGTTGAAGTCATTCATGCTGATAGAAGCCATTTGACTGAGTGAAAGCAGAGATCATAAATACAATTATCTGGATTTTTACTTGATTTTTTTCAGATCAAATAGTTAAAACTGACTATTTTATGTAATTCTTAGACAAGATTCAGTGTTAGTCTTTCTAAAATGTTCAGAACTAAGTATGATGCTAACTTGCTATGTTTATATTGGGTTGTTGAGAAAAATATCTGATTGTAAAGGATAAACATAAAACTAATGTAAAAATACTTGTTACTAGTATGAAATTTGTTTTTCTCAGGAATTCTTCTTCAAGCAATTTTAATTGCAGAATTCTTGGTGAGTGTCTAGCAGTGATGAATTTAACGCCAAAGGCTTAACGTGTCATTTATATTTATTAGCACAGGTTTGGGCAATAATTTTTCTAATCTAAGCACAAAATATAACTAACGACTATTTTCAAAATTCCTCATAAATATTATTAAAATATTATCTATTAAAATGGAATTTTAGATTTTAATCTAAGATACTAACATCACTACAGCACTGAAAATACAAGGTTTAAAAGAACAGTCCATTTCAGAAGCATTTTAATCTATGAAGTTACTGGAAGTATGTTTTTTATATTCAAGTAAAGGCCAAACTATCCAGGTGAAGAACTTTATAAGTTTCTGAATTACTGACTTAATGTATCCTTAAATATTACAGATTGCCTTCATCTAAAATAGTTAAAATACTATACTACAAATACTAATTTCCTTTACATGGACCATAAAGAAGAATTTACATTAAAACATATTATTTATACTTGGTGATTATTTTATTACCATACATATTTTTGTATACAATTTTGTTTGATAATAAGGATATTATAAATCATATTTTAAACAAAAATGTAAGCATGGCATATGTAAGCAGTAACATTTTGAAGGAAAGTGAAAAGCCATGAGAACATTTACCTTAAATTTCGTAATACTGAAAAACACTAGGTTTGTGCATAGTAACGATGAAAAGCTTCATAATACATTAGAACACTGGTAATCTTAGGTACTCTAAGAACCACATGGTGCAGGAAAAATTCAAATTAGACACATCCATAGCCTTAGAAGTGCACATCAATCAAGAATAAACCCCTCAATACAGCAGTATGCAAAGCATTCTTTCTTTCTTTGGCACTTAGCAATACAGACAAAGGTGTATTTGGTTTAATGTGATTTTTATTATTCTTAGATAAATTTTAGTTATTTTATATAGATAAAAATATACAATATTGCTTTAAAAATTTTTAATTTTATAGTACGTGTATAATTGATTGTCATCATATTCACAATTTAAAAAGCCTATTTTTACACTAAACAATTCATCCAGTAACCTGTAGGAGAGACTAACAAAAACGGTTTATATGAAGACTTTTAATGAAAGGTTTAAATGTAAAAATGGATTATTATTCTAGACATTGATCTAAATCTCTACTGGTACCTCATGCTGGAAACAAATTATGAAATGTTTTAGACAAATTTGTTTTTTTCAACACTTAAACTGATTCTACAGATTCAAAATTTTGACTAAAAATGCATAGAACTGACATATTTTGTCTGAAGCCACTTTTATATACATTAATTTACCAAAAAAAGAAAAGAAATGGAAAATGTATTTTAATATTACCTCTCAGTTTGGGATCTCATCACGTTTTTATATAATACATACAAAACGTGTCTATGCCCTTCAGACCTCATATCTGAATGAAAGAATGGCAGATGGTAGCACTTTTAAGTCACCTGAGGACAGTAAAGTTAGTAGGGTGATTATTTGCCTTACTGGTAATAAAGGTCATTATATTATAGAAACAACCTGACGTTTGGAATCAAGAGAACTGCATGGTTGTCTTTTTCTTAATATCAACTTAAAAGCAGTTGGATTCATTATTTGATTTCTTAGAAGGACTGATATTTAAATTATTTAAGTGCATATATAAAGTATGGACTATTTTTAAACAAAAGATTGAAAATATTTCGCAAGTAGTTTTGTTCAGTATAAACTATACAATGCACCATTCATTTCACTTGTAACAATACTTTGCACCAACCATTGCTATATTCAATCTTAACACTCCTCAAATATGAGAAAAACAAATAGTTTCCACTGTACTAAGTGAAATTTATAAAGTCAACATACTATATCTTAAAAGATTATAGATCTAAAACAGTTTTTAAAGAATTTATACACATTGAAATGGGTGCTTTGTTTAAAGAGCCAGAAACAAATCTGCTTCTCTTCATTGCAAGTTAATAAACATGGTTGCATTTAACAGCAGATTTTCCACACTGCAACATTCAACTATTATGGTGGAGATTTTAGTAAAGGTAACTGGTGGTATATCTCTTTCTTCTGAAAACACTGTTGAAATTTCAGTGCTGTTGTCTTAATGTTTATATAATAATTAAGAAATAATTTGGAAAGACAGTTTACTTTCAAATTTTTTCAACATAAGGCACAGAGCAACATTTAAAGTCCAGAAGCAACTAGATTATGTAATAAATAATTATCTTTTCAATCATTATTTGTCCTTTACCTGAAGAAAGTGGGTAAGTGCAGTTAAAACATGCCTGGACCAATAAAAATGATTGAATTTAAGAAATAAAAATAATATTTGTGTGCAGAATGTTATTAATTTAAAAAAGAAAAAGTACATTTTATATAAAATATACATCCTACAGCATTACAGGTAGAAAAAACCGTGAGGCACTTACATTAACAATGGAGGAGGAAAGCATTGAGATTACCTTTTTATAAAAGCACCAAACCATTTATTTTAACATCTGAGATAAAAGCAGAAGTTAATAACATAAGGAGATAATTTAGTTTTATAACTTTGTATTTGGAGGACTAAGAATTCAGAAGTTGACAACTCAAAGTATTTCATTTTTAGTCTGACAGAAATAATTTTCACAAAGAAAATTTTCTGATTTTCAAGTTCCCCTGAATCAGTTTTGTATGTTGTGTGGTGCTCAGAAGAACGTGAAAGGTAGATGCTATCTCACTCCTCTGTGGCAGCACGCTTCCTATTTTAACGACTGTAGTATATGTACTTTTGATATTATGTTTTCAACTCCTTTTCAAAAAACATTAAAATTTGGTTTGGAATAACACTGTGGGCAACATGCATCAGTGCCTCCACGTGAACTTGCTGATGTCCAACACTGACAGTTTTATTACTCTGTAATCTTTTGCAAACTAATTTAATACCAAAAGCAAGGTGAAAATCGGGCTTGGAATTACAGGAATCCATCGGATGTCAGATCAGGGAAGGGTCTGGCTTCTGATGGATGATGAAGGGGCTGAAGATGTGTGGTATTCTGAGTGTTACTGAATTCAGCTGGATAGGTTTCATTTAAAACTCCTCCATTCTGAAACTGAAAACAAAAATAGCAAAGCAATTTATTAGAATGAATCTTTTAAAATATCCTAAGCCATTAAGTAATAAAAAATATTTTTAAAATCATCATCATGCATGTTTTTAACTTCAAATTCTTTTACTGTTGCTAAATTTTAAATCATTCAACAAAGACATCCTGAGCACATACGATGTATTAGCTGCATGTATAATCTTTTGGTTTCTCCATTAGACGGTACAGATGATGTAACTGTCTCAATTCAGATTTGGCATTCCAGACCTTAAGAGAGTATTTGACCAATTAAGTGCCTTCGGTCTGGACAGGAATTGATGGATCAGAGAGTACCAGTCATGAATCCCAGTTATATATTCTCTGCATAAGTAGGTTTGCTTTGACCAGACTTCATCTCAGTCAAGTTCTGGGTACCAATGAATTGATTACATTCAAGACTACCACAATGGACTGCAGATGACCTAGGACTTCTCCAAAAGAGGACAGTTCTGATTTGCTACAGGTTTCTTAATATTCCCAAAATATTACATGCTTGGTATGATTTCCTGAACCATATGCTTATAAGTTCCACTAAAATTACTATCCTAATTACAGAATCAAGTTACCAAAATAAAATGCTCTTTCTTGCCTTCTTATAATGAAATTAGTCTGGTTTCTATAACTGCAACTAGAAAAAAAAAAGTGGGAGGAAGGACACGGAGATACATAGTTCTATAGGGTTTTACAGATTATAGAGCCTTTATACTTTAGTATATAGTTAGTGAAAGTCATGGGAACTTTCAAACAAATTAAAATCATACCATTAATTGCTTCAAATAAAATCTACCTTTCTAATCAAAACAGTGATTACTTCAAAGAGCCTCCAAAACATATATTAAATATATAGTAAAAATCACATAATCTAGATCATCAATGAATGGCAACTTTGTTGAGTCTTCAAATGGAAGGTGGTATTATTTGCCCAGAGAACGGTAGGTTTTAATAAATTACTCTCATCAATCATAACACAATGCATGTCAGCAACTCTCTTTAAATATATTGTCTAGAGCAGTGCTGTCCAACAGAAATGTAATGTGAGCCACATATGTAATTTTAATTTTTCTAGCAGCCACACTAAAAAGTGAAAGAGGTGAAATTAATTTAATATATTTCACTTAACCCAATATAGCCAAAATTTATCACTTCAACATGAAATCAATAAAAAAGATATTTTAAAGTCTTCACGATTGGTGTATATTTTACACTTACAGCACATCTCAACTGGGACTAGCTACATTTCAAATGCTCAGTAGTCACATGTAGAGTGGCTACCCTGGGGGAATACACAGGGCTACAGAATTAGACCGTAATTTTAACTATTACCTTTTTATCTTATTACTCATAAAGAAATAATACAAAGTAGCAGGGGATAAAACACTGTAAAGAATTCATGTGCTAATGCAAGCCCCATTCAAAATGTAATTTTACATCATTAACTTCTCTACAATTTACTTTACTCAAGAGTATATATGTTAGGTTACCTATCCATGCTTATTTCATGGCAATGTTATGAGATAGACTGTAAATGGATATTAAATTTTAATATAATTGAAGGATGTCAGGAATGAAAATAAGAAAAATCTTTACTGCCATTTTCTATTAAAAAGCTCATAAACAATCAGGCACACCAAATGTATGAAAAAAAAAAGCCAGAAAAAAACAATTAAGGATAAAGATTCAAGCAACATTTTTAAATTACTATAATACACAGTAAACAGAGAACAATGAACTTAATTTTAGTCAGGATTTTCTTCAAAACTAAAACACACTTTAAAATGAACTAAATATTTTCTAATCATAAATGCAAACATGATATACTCCTGGGTGGCCATAGAGAGCAGATATCATCATGTTAACTTTTTTTTTTAAAGTGATTATTTTTAGATTTAGTTGAAATATGCTTGCTGCTAGAAGGGTTCTGATGACATGTTTAAACAATAAAAATACAATATCAAGTTTGAGTCCTATGCTAGAAAGCCAGCTGAGTTATCTGTTTTTAAGAATGCCAGAAAAAGAATTCCACCTTAAAGGATAAAATGAGGATCTAGCAGATAACTTGGAGGGAGTGCCAGAAGACACTGAGGAGCCTAGGACTGAATTTTGGGGATCATCAAGGGTAAACCACATATAAAAAAGAATTGAGCTTTGAAGAAATTATTTTTAAAAATATATTTTTGAAGTCAATTTTTTAAAGGCCATATAATTTTAAAGAATTAAATATAAAGCAAAGTCTCTAGTCTAAACAATACACAACTAATTTCACCTGGTAACTGAAGGGCATATTCATGTTACATTAGCCCTTGATTTCTTTCTCCTTTATGATTCAGGTGAATATGATATACGTGTATTAGTAACATACTGGAAAAATACTGGCTTATAAAAAAAAGTAGGAGTCACAGACAATTAGAAATGCTCTCTCACAGGAATGCTACAGATAATAGATTAAAATCAGTCACTGACATAAAAAATTTCTAACTCATGTCTATTTGTAATGTAAGAATCACTGACAAGAGTTTATTTAGTTTGACGAAACTCTTACCTTGTTTAAAAATGCCTGTGGGCCTGGCACTGTTGGATTGTACTCCATCTGAGGCACGAGCACTGCATCTGAGTACATTGACACAGCCCCAGCATAACATGTCTGAGGAGTTCCTATGGTTGACTGTGGATTTAGTCCATGCTTTTGGTTTTCAGGAACTTGTAAACATGTGACAAAATCTTCTAAATTAGAAGTAGTAGTAGGGTATGGGGATGGTTCAAAATTCCCTATGGGAAAGTCTAACTGTGTACCCTCGGAATGTGGTAACATAGACTGATTACAGGGAATAAAGTTCTGTGTATAAGGCATAGTATCAATCTCAGATTTGTAGGGAAACTCTTGATTGGTCCCAGGTAAGTCTGGAAAGACATTATACTGTTGCAGGTCTTGTTGAGGACAACTAAAAGGCACGGTTTGGTTAGAGTTCCAATTTGCAAACATGCCACTAACTTGCATATGCTTTATTTTCTGACACAGCTGTTGCTGTTGCTCCACTGCTAAGTGCTTTTGATGGTGCTGTAGCTGCTGCTGCTGTTCTAACTGTAGGTGCTCCTGTACCATACAGCTTGAGTTCAGAGCCATGGGTTGTTGCTGTTGGTAACCTGAACACACCAAGGTAGACTTATTTAAAGAATCTTGGACGTACGTCAGGATTTCATCTGTTATGTCAATGTCTCTCAAGTCATCCTCACCAGAAAAGTCAGTTCTGAAAAATTCCTCATTCTGCTGCATGTATTTGATATCTTCATAATCAATGCCTAGGTGTTTCATAATGCTGTACAAGTCACTATTCTTATTATCTTGAAAGAGCCCTGCATGACCTTCAGAGAGTATTGGGTTTATTTCCTGAGACTGACCAATTTGCTCATGTTTTAGGATATTATCATTTCCCATTGGTGCAATACTGTCTTGCCAATTATTGCCGTCATTCATAGATTCGTTAAAAACATTTCTTTCAAAAGGTACACTACTTGAAGCAGGATAAAGATAAACAGACTCGTCTTGCTGCATCATAGCACCCAGGATGGAACTGGGATGGAGAGTTGACGTGGTAGCAGAATCTCTTCCACTAGCACCGTTTTTACTTCTTATTGGTAAGGGATCCATCATGGGAGGAAAAGGGCTGGTTATCTCATACAACACAGCTTCTCCAGTGGTAAACATAAAAGGCAACTTCATATTTCGTTTTCGTAAATGCTCTGTTCCTTCTTCATCTCTAAAATTGTGTATGAGAAAGTTTGTATATATTAGGACGAGTTGTATCAAACATTTTTAAATATTAAAAAAATACACTATTTTGACAAATTTTTCAGACAAGCAAATTTAAATGATTTAGAATTTGTCCAAAAACTTTCTACAGTCATTAATTCCAGCTCAGGTTACATCCCTACCTGACATCCTGCAGAAAAATAAATTCTATGTGGAATCGAGATCTAAACATAAAAACTAACTGTAAGAATTTAGCAATCTGAATGGGAGAAGCATGTCTAAATAAAACATAAAACCCAGAAACTATACAGGAAAAGATTGGCATAACTGACAATATAAAAATTAAAAATTTTTGTATGGTGAAAAGAATTCATAAATCAAGTTATGGCACAGAGAAAATATTCATAATATATACATTTATAATTTCATATGTATATAATTTAATATCCATAAGAGGTAAAGAGCTTCAATAAGTCAGAGAGAGAGGCAAACAACTCAATAGAATGAGTATTCCAAGAAACTTAAAAGTCACTGCTTGCTTAGAAAACACAGGCTAAACAAAGCATTGTTCTATTTTTACTTTATTCTACAGATGGCATTAGCTTTTCATCTTTGCTTCACATACCCAGGACAAAACCCTGGGATTTTCTTTGATTATTCTCTTTCTGTAGCTCTACATATTTAGTTCTTCAATAAAGTTTGTCAATTCTGTCTTCTCAATGTCCTTCACCTATGCCTTCTTCTGTCTGTAGATACTATTTGAACTTTTCAATTTTTATTTCCAGAGTAAATTCTCTTAGGCTGTATTTTTAAGTTTTCATGTAAGAGAATTTATAAAAGAAAGTGTTGTTAAAATAAAAAACAAAAACATGAAACATTCTGTCTTTGTGCTTACGTTAGAGGTCTCTGAGTTGCAATGATATAATCTGGTCTTCCGTTTTTATAAACTAAGCGTGCATTAGATTGGACCCAGGCCCATCGATTGTCTTTCGTAAGAAGTCTGAACACTGTCATGCCACTCTCTCCAGTCTTAATCACTAAAATAAAATAAAAAAATTAAATTATCAAACCCAAAATCAACGTAGTAAAGAAAATCTCTGAAACAAAGCCCCTCTGACATATTTCTGAATGTATTTCATTTATCACCAAAGATGATAAATATCATCACAACTTTAAACACAGTATATTAATATGCATGGAATTAGTTCTTTAACATTATTTTTTCCTATTTCAGACAATTTATTATTTAAAAGGTGGGACGATTAAGTCAGTCAGCCGATTCCAGTAACATGAAACTAGAGAGAGTATAGTTTGGGGGAAAAAAGATAAAAATTGTTTTCATTTTAAAAAAGGAACGTTTTCTATAGCTTAACATTTTACTATAAAATTTTAAAGTATAATCTAGATTAACATAGATTTATGAGTTAATAACGATGCCATTAAAAAATTCCTGAACAAACATGGGACAAAAATGCTCATTTTCATAGTAATTAAACTACTATATTCCCGTGTGACAGCTATAGAGTAGTTAATGAATGAAGTGTGTAACTCAGATTAATCATAATGTATGATGCTGAGTGGAAGTTTATCCAACTAGTTTCCTTAAATACGTCACATTACATAATTTGAAACATGTACTAGAGTGTATGCCGTTTTTACAGACATGTTCTTAAGGAACTACAACTTACTCCGGAGATGGTACTCGGCGCAATAAAGCATATCAGCAGCATGAAGAAACTGATATCCTGATCCTCTCTTGCACAGCTCTGCTTCCGTATAGCCTAAAATAATTGATCCTCTGTTTAAAAGAAAAGGTAAAACAAGAATGAAATTAAAATTTATCATGAATGAAGTAACCAATATAAATTTGCTGCTTATATGCTGTTTTCTGTGCTGTTTCACTTGACATTCAGAATTTCACATCAGCAGGCAGAAACAATTAACCACATTTACATAATTGCTCTCTTTTGCTTATGGCTGAAAATTTCAGTTTTAGACTATTTTCCTCTCCTGAATAAAGACCATGAAAATTAGTATGGCTAAAGAGGAACCTAACAGGGTAGATTATGCAGGTGAAACAAAATCTTTAATAAAAATGTAGAATGCTTATCCTCCATTTTGAGGACAGAGTTTTTCAAACGTGTCTGCATTCCCATATTAGAAAGGAGAAAAGCAATGGTATGTTTTGATATATGAATACTAATATCACAGTCTACTTCATAATTCTCTCCAAGTTACTAAACTTCTAGGGCTGAAGATCAACCAAAGTTTGTACAATTTAACAATGTAAATCAAACCAACAATGTCATCAGGAAACTGAATCTTAACTGATATAAGCATATCATCTTTATGAAACAAAAATTGTGGCAAGTACTGTGAAACGTTATAAAATAACTAGATTTGTGAGTCTGATGAAATTATTTTGTTTTAAAAGGCTATAACTTAAAAAGTAGGAATAATAGCTAATATAGTAATAAACAATATTATAATCTACACTATACTTTCTACATGCTAAGAGAGACTTACTGCAACAAAACATACTTTTGACGAAATTAAACTGAAAAAATGTTACTTACTTGGCATCACAACCAATAGGTGAAAAGTCTAGTTTGTGTTTGGTTCTAAAGATGAAATTTTTGGTTCGGATTTCAAGGATGGATGGTGGCTGAAGTGGAGTAGCTATTGCAAACAAAGCCAACTGAGGTGGAAGTATTGATCCATCTTTCCCTTTCTTGTTTTGTCCATGAAGATACTTTAACCTCCCTTGGAAATTCATTGCCTTAAAAAAACCAAAAACAGTCCATTAAAATGAACACTTTAAAACTGTTCCTTTTTAAAAGGCTCAATTATGTCATTTTCAGTGTTCTTGATAATTCCATAAAAGTTCCTAAGGCTGACAAATGCTACTTTCATTCCTTTCTCCACAGGAAGCCCTGTGAAAGGATCCCAAAAGGTGGTTCGAGGTCTACCCTAAAGGGTCTGATAAGTAAACCACTCCTTGCTTTTTAATGGTCATGACAAAAATACCTGTATCATTTTCTGAGTTTGCAATTAATTGCCCTATCATTCACATCCAACACAGCTCCTTGCACACTGGGCAATCAATACATATTTCTTGAATGAATGAATGGTGATCAAGTCATCAAGTATACATTAATTTTCAAATATACTGTAAGCTATATTTTATATTCTATAGCTCACAGTATATTCCATAGCTCATGGTAATCTTTTATATAGAGATAAAATACAATTTTATTAAAACACTAAAATGAATCATGAAATCACGTAAAGAATGCAGAACTCTATTAGAGCAAAAATAAAGAATACTTTTAGCAGACAGGAAATCAAGACAATTTAAACATGAACATTATCAATTTAGTTGCTTAAAACAGTATTAATCAGGCCGAGGGATAATTCTGACATCATATAATAGCAGCACAAGAAAGAAAAGATCCGATTACACAAAGAAATTCCATCTCAGAAATACGTACTAATTGATCATCACTACTAGGAAAACTATTTGAAAGCACAATTCTAACTCTGGGTCAGCAAAATTATTTTCAGAAATTAATCAACAAAAATTATTGTTTGCTAATGTTTAAGATTTGATTATCTGTTTAAAATTATTGATAATTTATAAAAGTAATATGCAACATGCTTTGTATTCTCTTCTCTTGTGCCTGGTGGAGTACACTATCTTAAGGATACAGACAATTGAGAGGATGGACCATCTCCACTCTTGGGTATCCTGTCTAAGCCGCTCCCTGGTTATCCCACTAAGGTGTTCAGACTACACAGGAATATCTCATACCAGCTGATTCTGCAATCATGAATATACAATGATTTGTCTACATGGCAGTTCTTCTAGCCATGTGAAAAAGGCGATGATAACTCTTCTGTCTAGCAGGCATTAACTCCAAAGAGGGTAAGCTTCTGCTGCTCAAGAAGGGCTACAGAGTTCTCTATCTTGTACCTAGGAAGTCCTAAAAATATGCCACATACAACGTTCCATGTTATTTCACTCAGGCTTTGTTACTGCATGCTAAAGGATAGAGATTTTGAGTTATGGAAGATATTAAAAAACCTGAAATAAAAAGTTACTTTCCTTTATCAAATTATTTGATAAAGTGGATTTTAAAAACCAAACTCAAATATAACCAAAGAAAATTGGTTTCACTTTTCTTTTTCATTTTCTAAAACTTAATAGTAAATGCCAGTATCATAAGATTTTGCACCTTACCAGAAAACCAGATGAATTATCCAGCAGACACCTCAGTCGGCATATAAAGCACCTCTCCATAAAAGAAGAGTTTTCTGGAGGAAGCTGGTCTGGGTTATAATAGATTGCTGGCTGTGGGAGGCCATTAGTTTCTGTAGAAATGATAGCAACACAAATTTACTTTCCATTTTCTTATAAAATGAAGTGTTTAAGTAGCCGAAATCAGTGCTAATTTTCTAAACTGGAGTCTGTATTCTGAATACAAAAAAATAATCATTTTCAAGAGGAGCTAATGAAAAGAACCTAAAACACTGAATATTACTTTTACTACATAGAACTTTACATACTCAGTTTTGTTTTTATTTCTATTGAGCTATCACTGTCAATAATTACCATATTTTCTAATGCCTTTTTTTCTTTTTAATGCTTTTACAGACATCTGAAAACACGGCTTGCACGGAGAAAAGTTTTTTTTTTATACTTGCCGATTCTAGTTTGCTTTTTTATTTGGTGCATTTTAAACACAAAACAATTTATACACACTCCAGTATCAACCTTGTACATTCCTTCCCATCTTTTACAATAGTGTAAGATTTATTTTTATAAAATATGTTACTGAGTATGGCAACACTTTCTCGCCTGAAGTTCATCAATGTCTGTCATCTGTCAAAACACTCCTTAGGTGATCAGGCTCTTTGTGACCTGGCTCTGGTCTACAGCTACACACTCAGGTCCTTCCACTTCTTCCCAACCTTCACCATGGAGTTCTATGCCCCTAAATGTCGTCCGCCTCCTTTCACAGAATTATATTAAAAAATCACAAAGACCATCTTTTGGTAAACATTCTTACCATCAACTCTTTGTCCAGAGTCTATACGCTGTGAAGGGTTTAATGCCCAGTGTAGCTGACGCTGAAATTCAGCTCGGTCTTCAGTATGGATAAGTTCATACACACTCTGATGTATGACATCAGACTAAAGAGAAAAAGATACAAGGAAATTTAAAAAAAACTAATGATTTAAAAAAATGTGGCTTACTAAAGTAATTTCAAAACCTCACTAGATTAGTGGGTGCTTGTTAGTTGTGAAGAATACAGTCAAATGACTGCAAAGCTCTCCAGTCATCCGGGATAGGAAATGCTGGCAAGAGACCTGCACTGTAACTGAGAAGCCAAAAGTTACTTGCCATCATTTTCCTACATGAGTGCTCTTCAGTGAAATAAGTCACCTCCCCATTCCTTAATAGCAACACATTAAGTTCTGCTTATTTTTATCTATTTATTGATCTTTTAAATTTTACTTCTTTCACGAAACCTTGTCCGAACATCCAGTCATCTTTGACTTCTCTAAGTGTCATAGTATTATGTATTTCCTTCACTGTTCTCTAATAATTTTCTTTATATTAAATTTTTACTTCTAATAGACTCCACAGGAATAAAGGATTATGCCTTCACCAGGTCAGAATCCTTCCTCCACCTCCTGCCTCTCAGCATTTACTATAGTGCTGAGCTCTTAGCCCTTAAACCAGAATTTTTCTAACTTTTTTTATTGCAACTCATGGTAAGAAACACATTTTCCATCCATCACATGTGTGCATACACACACATATACACAAATGGAAAAAAGTTTCACAAAATACTTTTTTTGTGATGATATTGTATATTATATCTTATTCCTTTCTAAGGAACTAAAAAGAACGGTTGATGGTGATCCACTATATCAATTTCATTACTTACTAATGAGTCACAACTTGGCAGTTTTAAAAATTGTGCCTTAGGGGCCGGCCCCGTGGCCGAGTGGTTAAAGTTCCACAAGCTCTACTTCAGTGGTCCAGGTCTGGGCATTCAGATCCTGGGTGAGGATCTACTCCACTCATCAGCCATGCTGTGGAGGCATCCCATATACAAAATAGAGGAGGACTGGCATAGATGTTAGCTCAGGCCCAATCTTCCTCAAGCAAAAAAAAAACAAAAAAAAAGAGGAAGATTAGCAAAGGATGTTAGCTCAAGGCGAATCTTCCTCACCAAAGTAAAATAAAAATAAATAAAAATTGTGCCTTAAACCACCACCAATGCCAGATACGAATGGTTTCTTAAAGAATATCCAGGCTATGTGAATATATGAGGAAAAAAATAGATTGAGAAATAGCCAGTCTCTTTGATTTCTTAACTGTTATGAATCACATTATCAAATAATGATTAAGACAGTTATGTAATTAATTAAATTTCAAACAGGCTTTTCCAAGGATATTAGTATATTTTCTTTAAAATTCAAAAATACTGAAAGTTAGGCTTTGTGGCAGTAGCCAGATTCCACTACTTTAGCCTAAACTTAAATCTCCCTATGAACTTAATCTTCTAGCATTAAACCATCTCTCTGCCATCCACTACACAACTGCCAGAGTTATCATCTGAAACACAGATCAGAACACACACATTCCTTTTAACAAAAACACCCTTTAGTGGCTTCCACTAGAAATATAACATCGTTTAAACTTCAGTCTACATAACAGTATAGACAGTGCTATTCAAATCAGCAGCCTTGGCATCACCTGTGAGCTTGTTAGAAATGCAAGTTCAGGGGCCCCTCTATGACCTACTGAATCAGAATATCTAAGAATGAGGCCCAAAGATTTTATGAAGTTTTATCAAGTTCTTCAGGTGATTCTGATGCACATTAGAATTTAAGAACTATTGATAGGTAAGAATAGCTAGCATTCAAGTGTACTTACAAACTGTTCTCAAACCATATTGAACGTTCTTATCCCTCAAATATGCCAAATACCTTACAACTCCATTTATTCACCATCCACTCAATAACGTTAAACCAGACTCATTCACCTCCTTTAAGGACTGCCAGAACACTGCTTACAGTACTTCTATCTTTTCTTCCCTGTGTTACCTCCATAACTGTCAACCCATCTAAATCCTACACTTTCTTTAGGTTAGCTTAAATGCCACTTCCTTCAGGAAAGTTTCCATAACCAATTAAGTCAGAATTAAAGGAATAAGCTATAGTATTTTGCTTGTACTTTTACACATCACCTCATTCATTTCATAGCTGACATATGCCCTTCAGTATCTATAACTAACTTAATAGCAGATATTCCCTTGTCTATTCCCATCAAAACCCTATCTGCCCCTTACGGAAGTTTCTTATATATAAGAGTTCCTTAATAAGTGAAAGAAGGCAATATCCATGCATCACATAAACATTTAAAGAAATTATAATGCAGTAAATTAACAGTATAAAATATATAGCTGCAAATATTTTATTTTTTATTCTATAGCATATATATTTTAATTCATATTTTATATATGTAAATTACCAATTGTATCCCTAAAGTATAAGATTTATAAGAAGTAGAAAGTTAATTTTCTAAAAAAAATTTTTTTAAATGACCTAAGAAAAACATATTTACCTGCTGAAACCCTAGGTAATCTTGTATAGTAGAAGAAGCATAAAAGACCAAAGCATCTGTAGTGACAACCAACACAAAGCCATTCAGAGCCTACAAGAAAAAGTTATAAAATTAGTAATGTGACTAAATAACAATATTGTCACTCATAAATACTGACTTCAGTTAAAGCTGTTGCTTTTACTGCTGAAAAAATCTTCTCTTTAAAATGATTAAAATTATTACACCTCACAAGTACAGACATACCACCTACCTGTGGAGTGAGAGGAATCTATCCATACCCCTTTTGATTTGGCTAAGGAAAAGCTTAGGCTGAATTTAATGCTCAATCATGATACTTTAACAGAAAATTGGTTTCTTCTTCCTCATGCTTCAGATTTTGTTTTAAATATACTGTACATGTTTTTAAACATAAGCTTTATAAATATCATTTACTATAATCCGTCACACTGCTTTTTAGAGGAAGATAGCATGTAAAGATGCTATTAGATCCTTAAGAGAAATCTGATAGGAGAAAATCTTTGCGTAAAGACAGTTCAAGCACTGATACAATTTGAAATTTGGAGACTCTCAAATTATTATAAAACATTTTAAAAACTTTTTATTGGCAGATATACATATATGGACTATACATAAAACACATATAATACATATGTAATACAAATATACACATGTAAGATGATATATAACAAATGTAGTCCATTTAAATTTAATATAATTACTAACACATATAGGTTTAAAGCTATCTTTTCTTTTTTTTGGTGTGGAAGATTGTCCCTGAGCTAACATCCATGCCAATCTTCCTCCACTTTGTATGTGGGCCGCTGCCACAGCATGGCTTGATGAGCAGTGTATAGGTCTGGCCCTGACATCCGAACCCACGAACCCGGGGCTGCCCAAGCAGAGCACATGAACTTAACCACTATGCCACCAGGCCAGCCCTAAAGCTATCATTTTATATGTGCTATTTCTATTTGTTCCATCTGTACTACGCTTCTTTTCCTTTCCATTTTGCCTGCTTTTGGCCAAACATTTTTTATTTCTTTTTCTTTCCTTCTTTTAGTTTGGAAGTTATACTCTCTTTTTCTATTCTTTTAGTGGTTATTCACGTCCAATATTAATATCTCTACACTCATAGATAACAAAAGTGTTCAGATCACTTTAAACATATATTATATATTTTAATTCTACCAGCCCTCACTATTTCCTGCTTGACTTCAATTCAGTACCTGATCTATTCTTTGCTTTGTGATCATGACTAAAACCTTCTGAGATTCTCTCCTTTATGTAAAAGGAGACATGGTACAGTATCGTATAAGAACCATACAGTTGGGAGTTAGGCAGATTTGGACTAGATTCCCATCTCAGTCTCTTATTAGCTGTGTGGCTTTGGTTAAGTTATTTACCCCTTCAAGCTTTAGTGTCATTATTTGAAAAATACGCACTTTATCAGGTAGATATGATAACTATATCTCATCTAACTCTCTGCCTGACACAGAGTTGGCACTTAACTAATGTAGGGCACCATTACTATAATATAAGGTTGTGGAAATGAGCAAATGAAGGTTTACATGATCTTGCTTTGTGAACTATAAAGAGATATAAAAATGACAGCAATTAGTTTATTTGACACTTTTTAAATAAACTATTATATACCAAACAGGACCCAGGCTAAGTACTGGGATTCAGAAATTAACAAGATACTGCCCCTGTGCTATTGAATGCTCACACAGTCTAGCAGACACCTTCATTATTAGACGAGGTTTTGAAATACAGTGACTGTCTTCCTTGTCACTCTAATTCCTTTCACCTTCAGGATCCTTCGTCTGTATTATACTTCTGAGAACTTGATTACAAAAACAACAAATAGCACCTACTATTTAACAGCTACTTTTTGAAATGTTTTTATGTATTCAAGTGATTTAATTTCCTCAACAAACCATTGAGGTAGGTGCCATATTCCAGTTTTACAATCAAGGAAACCGAAGTAAAGAACTGTATAGTAACTTGTCCAAGATCACATAGGTAGGAAAAAGCTGAGCCAGGAGGTAACCTAAAGCTCTAAAGCCTGCCCACCTAACTATCAGGATCTGCTGCCTTTACATGTATTGCTCACCAATTGTTGCATGACTCTAACTCTTTCAATCACAACTAGGCTCTAAGGCCCTTGATTTTAGAGACCATACCTTAAAATACCTGGCAATTTCCCCAGCATGAAGAATGGTGATGGCACTCACCAGGAACTTAAATGTTTAATGATTAACTTCTCCAAAATTGAATATTCTTAAATTTCAGTTGGCAGTAATAGTACATACCCATTTCTGTATTTTTTCATCCTGAAAATATATTCTTTCTAGAGAACAGTATCCACTGATTATATGCATATTATTTTGTAGAGTATCATGCTTTTTCAAACAGTGAAACAAATTTAGTACTTTCCAATAAGCTCATTATGCCAAAAGACAATTTAAGGTACAATATCAAACCCTTTTAGACAAATGTTAATTATCAGAAATAAAACAAAAAGCCTTTAAAAAGAATATATGCATATCAATTTTATGTATATCTCAAATGATCTTAAATACCATGTGGAACAAAGTTATTACACTGAATTATTATCTTAGTAAATTAATAGAGGAATTAATATGGTAATTACATATTAATAAAAGAGATTATCATTGTTTAGTCTTAGTCACCAAGATTTGCCCTACCTATCTGAAATCATGGTGAGGTTCACTCACTATTTGTTTTTGTTTTGTTTTGTTTGCTTGTTTTGTTTTTTTTTTTTTGCTGGGGAAGATTCACCCTGAGCTAACATCTGTTGTCAATCTTCCTCTTTTTTTTCTCATGTGAGCCACCACAACAGCATGGCCACTGACAGACAAGCGGTGTGGTTCCGCACCTGGGAACTGAACTTGGGCCACCGAAGCAGCGTGCTGAACTTTAAACATTAGGTTATCAGAACTGGCCCCACTTACTATGTGTTATAAGAAGTAAACTGCAATTGATACTGTTATTTATAATTTCAACTGCCATTAATTCAAAAATGAAGATGAAGATTTTAACAAGCATAGTATTAAATAGCAACAGATAGAATATGTTTAAATATACGAAAATAAACATCTGAAGTAAATAATAGATCATGAAAAGATACAAAAAGTAATTTTTATTTTCATTTTTATTTCTTATAAAATAGTAACAAATTTAAGCTAATTTAGAAAGTAAACATTTTAAATTTTTAATAAAATATTTTATAACAGTTTCTTCATGTGCCTCCTTTGTTAAAAACAAAGTAAAAGATTTTTTATCCCAAGTTTCAAGCCAAGTGGTATGCTATATCTCTGGAAACATCCTCTACATCTTACAGGTAATTGGTTGATAATCGCATGTTGAAAGTATAGAGTTAGATGCCATTATGGCAACTGTATATAATGAAATATGCCGTTTTCACATGTCTACGATGTTTTCAGTCATTTGCTACATAAGAGATAACAAAAGCATGGTCCTAAGCAAACCATATAGTATGTGATGCTTCCTACTGAAGAGTCATCTACAAATGGTATCCAATATAATTCATAACAGGTACGTTTATTTTAAAAACATAAATGTTTCCCATTTTCAGATAATTTAAAAAGGACACTAGTTTGGCATTAGTATTATTCTTATTCTGTGTCCCTGAAATAAAGTATGTTTACAATTTGTTTAAATATTCTATGAGAAAAATAAAAATCACTGGCCCATAATTTAAACCAGTTTACCAAGTGTTAAGCATTCCATATTTGTCTATTTTCACTTGAAATAAAGAATTTCTTTATTACTTTACTACATAACCCAAGATGTGTGTTTACTCACATTAAGCAGCAGTTATTACAATGTTTTCCTATGACCTCAATAAGGAGTCTTTATGTTTCAGCTAACATATAAAGAGCCTCAGCCGGGGGCAGGAGAAGGATTCATGCTTGAATATATTTAATTTGTTTAACATAATGGAAGCAAAAATTAATTTTCACTATCCAAGATTTGAACACAATTACAAAATTATAATAAAAAATGTTATGAATTGCTAGTTACACTTAAGCATTTACTGAATGAACTAACGGAGTTACTAAAACTTATGGCTACTTTTTGACAAATGACAAAGTAAGTTCTTCACTCACTTCACTGGGTGGAATTGAAAATTATCACATAATAGCAATAGCACATATCTTCATCCCATCTTTCTTCAACAAAATAAATACCTGAGAATTTCAACTGAGAATCAAGCATCATATCAGTTCCAAGACAAAGAAACAGAGTAAAAAAAGATTTACAATATTTTTACAGGCAAATCAACTAGAAACCCTCCAAGTTCTAAAGCATAAAAATAGGCCTTACAGTTGTTGAGAAAATCTATAGCACGGTGGTAAGATACACAGCAGCTAAAACAATATAGTTACGAGAACACATTGAAAAAAATAAAATTCAGGTTAAGAACAATTTCAAACTATTGAATAAATGCAATTAACTACTTTAATAGAGCTATATCCCTGAAAAAGTATATATATATAATGATGTACACCTGAAGTTTATACAATGTTATAAACCAATGTTACCGCAATAAAAATAAAAAGTATATGTAAATCCAATGTCTTAAATGAGAACTCTTAAAATAATCTATGAGTTCTTGCTATTTAAAGAAATACAACAGGGAAATTGATAAGTAGACTTTTAACTAATCTACTTCATAAAAAATTCCAGTTTTTCATGTACTAGCATTACACAACTATTGCAGTTCAGATCAAAGTGGCATGAAACACCGGGTGAGTTCTAAATAAACTGGAAATAATTAAAAGACTGATTAATTTTCCATTTATAATTCTCCTTATTATATGGAATGATACTTATTAAAATTTACCTGTAATAAGAATTCTCCTTCTTGCAAGGTCAGGCCTTCTCTGAATTTTGTTCTACAGTTATCCTGGACTCCATTTCTGTCAGCTGGGGAGGATTTTAATGCAACTATGGAAAAAAGGGAAAACAATGATATAGTAGGTAGTTTTTAAAATAAGCAATTTCAAAGGGCTATAATGGAAAACGTCTGTACACCAAACAAAGAGACAATTTGAAATACTGGTGTCTACTGGTACAATAATGACTAAGTAAATAATCTTTTGCCAATGAGTGATTTCTAAGTCAGCTGACAGATTCTTACAAGTAATTTCTGATGAGTTCACTATATGATTTTTGGCATATATCTTACAAGTTTCAAAGAAATGTATGGTGCTGCTATTAACACTCCTCCCATTCCTATCTACTTACTTATGAGAATAAGGTTCCTCAGGATATAACCTATAAAAATGATTTTAGTATCTCTACATATTTATCTAAACATCAGTGAACTAGTGGTGGTGAGAAGAAAGAATCAACCATATGCCTTATTAAGAAATATATTTCCATTAAGTTTAGAATCCTCTTGTCTAGTTTTAGGGTAAAAAAATTGTTAATATTGTTATTAGATTCACATTAAATTTATAAATCAACTCATGGAGAATTAACATCTTTATGATGTTGAATCACTCTGTCCAAGAACATGTATGTTTTTCCATTTGTTCAAGTCTATATTTTTTGTGCCACTAGAGTATTTTAAAGTTGTCCACAAAAAAGATTTGCACATTAATTTTTATGTTTATTCCCAGGTATTACATCTTGTAAAGTGACTTCTCCTTCATTATTACCTTCTAACTGCTTGTGGATTATATATATGAAAGAAAGACTGATGGCATGGTGGGATGCTTACTACTGGAGGATGCTTACTACTGGAGGTGTCATGTTGTAATGCTCTCTCTCCTCTTTACCTCTTCCCTCCCATCTCTCTCCGTCAGTGTGTGTGTGTGTGTGTGTGTGTGTGTGTGTGTGTGTGTGTATCTGTAGTCTGGGAGGCAACACAGCTGAAACGAAATAATAGTAATAGCTACCATTTACTTATTTAGAATTTTTCTAAGCACTCTCAAATATTATCTCATTTAAAAGCATGTGATTATTGGCATCTGTGAGAATTGAAGTTCAAATATTAGCTCTGCCATTTACTAAATGTGTGAGCTCTTTGAGCCTGTCTCCTAATATGTGAAGTGGTAACTGAAAAACACAACCAACAGAAAACCACCCTGCAGGGGTTCTATGAAGGACAAGGAGAATATATGTGAAGTTCCTGGCATATAGCAGCTCAACAGTAGTTCACTAAATGGTAGCTTTAATTATTAGCAGTATTTTCCCAGTCCCTTATGGACTGCCCGGGTATAAGGTATAACCTTTTAGATACAATTACAACATCTTTCCACTTTTCTGATCTCTTTTTAACCTGTGATATTTAAGTATGAGAAACCATTAAATGAAACTGACTTTGACATTCCTTTTAAGACTTATTTCATTAGACTTTTATGTATGAAAGATAATCTGGCTCAGTGAAAAACTGGAGACTTACAAATAACAAGATTTTCTCTCAGTTTGAGTAAAGCATCACATATACAACATTTTCATGTTGAAGTATATTTTCTGGTAAATCATCAGTGCACGTGTTACACTGGAATCCTATGCCAAGTTCTTGCCTTTGCAGAACTTAAACATACCTCTTTGAAAGAAGAGGCCAAAAGTGTGGCCTCTGAATATAACAATTTCAAAAGGCCAGAGAACAGATTTCCTTAGGCCATAAAATAGTCTGAGGTAAATTAATTGATCTAATAGTTAATCAAGACCAAAGGAAATGCTTAATCTTTTCTTGCTGAAAGGTAGAAGAGAGAAAGGCCTTTTCTCCCTTTCTATTTTGTCAGTTTTGTTGCTGCTCCTTGCTTTCTAATGGGCAAATTTGCTTGAATGCATTAAAACCTCACAATGTCAGGGTTAACTACACTTCGCTACCTTTCCAAAGCTCTAGTATGAGGCACAATTTAAGAATTATACCAAATATCAATAAGATTTGCTATTAAAAAGAAAACAACAAAATCAAAACCCTTAGATTATGAAAGAAGTAAAGTAATCTTAAAAGCGGATAGATATTAATAGTGTCAAATTTAAAATGTCTAAATTATCTTATTAGGAATCTTTTAAAATTAATTTTATCAGTGGGATTGACGTCAGTTCCAACTAGAGTTACTGGACCACTGAGAAGCTGAATAAGAAATGAAAGAGACCATTCATCTCAGAGTAATTCACAATTTGTTTCTGCTCTTGTACGGGGGATATTAGCCAAGGTAATTAGACATTAGACAGACTCTGCCTTTAAGTTGGGAATATAAACTGTGGAAATAAAGAACTAGAAAAGAATGTCAAAAATATTACTTACCAGAATGGGACTTAATTAAAGTATTACAGGAACTTGAAAGAGAGAAAAAATAAAAAGAACTCTTTCTAAACAACAATGATTACAATTCTAAATGTTGGAAGGACATATTTAATAATATAACTACTGCTCAAGTAGGAAAAGTGACAACTGCATTTTGGGGGAGGATCACTGGAGGGTTCTACCAAAAATAAACAAATATTTTTGTTGCTCTCATGTTTAAAGTTAATAATCAGCAAAGGATTTAAGTAAATATTGTGCAAAGATGAGGCTAGGAAGGGAGAACTCTCTTCCCAGTCTCATCTAAAAAGAATCCTAATATGACTTTTCAGAAAACTTATTTTATGTCCTTGGGTCAGCCTCTCAACTCAAACTATGTAATTTTTGCCCTTCCACGAAGTTTGTCCTGTTTCTTGACCTCATACTGACCACCTCTCCCTTCTTAAAATTACTAGAACTATATTAATTCATACTACTCACTTTCACATGTACATTTCTTGCCTTGATTAGAAAGCAACAGAACAGTAAGAAGATGGCGCAGCATACTGTCACCAGTGCTACTTCCTACCATCTGAGTGGCCTTAAATAATTTCCTTAGTAATAACACGTGATACTTACTGAGCACACAGTGTATGCCAAGCAGTTTCCATGTATTATATCTCATTTAATCTTCCTAACGGTCCTACGAGACCAGCCTTATTGTCCTTTCTAAATATTACGAAACTGAGACTTAGGGAGGTTAGGAAACTTTCCCAATGTCATAGAGCTTTAAGTGGTAGAGCCTAGATAAAAACCCAGGTAGCCTGACCCCAAGTGTGTGAGCTATTATTAACCACCTACCCGACTTTCCCCCTATGCTAAACACCTTTGACCTTTGGTTTCCTCATCTTTAAATGAGGACCATGATACCTCTGGAGACAAATTCTAGTGCTGGCTAAAACAACATGCAGAGTACCTGGGTAACGCTTGGCATCCATAACTGACAGTCAACAACAGAGACAATGGGCTCTGTGCCGAGTTTACACACCCTCAAACCACTATGGAAAGCTGACACTAAAAGTGCACACCAGATGAGTGTTTTCTCATCTCTGAACAGGGAGCACTAATGAGTACCTAATAGCACTGCTATGATGACTACACAACACAGATTTGGAAGTACTTCAAAATTGTAAATTGTTATAAAAATTATATGCATAATCAGATGTATAGGACACTTTAAATATTATACCACTGGAATTAAAGACACGACAGTTCATAGAAACAAAACGTAATATCTGAAAATAAGTCACGAGCCAATTCTGCTACTTGGGAAGCATTTGCTATACTGAACTGACCTGTTAAAATCCTCCCCATCTGCAGGATCACCACACCTTCCAAAGTGTTAAGGATCTGACTTTGAGCAGTCAGTGGAATATTAAGATAATAAACCGTCAAAATATCTCACTATTTCCTCACTGAGAGATCAATGAAGCAATTACACAAGAATTTAATCTAATTGATGATGGAGTTCAGAGCGTAGATCTACCACAGCATTATCAAATTGTCATATTACCTAAGGATTCAAGTCTTATTCCCACATGCATTTAACCATATCCATGTTTCCTAATATGGCACCTTCCTTCCTTATACATCTAAGCTCAGATTTTCATTTCCTCCTACAAGCCAAATATTTCCTCTTCAAAACATGCTCTGAATTGTTCAAGAGAGAAATTCATAAGGAAGAAATATTGGCATGTGGTAAACTATATTTTGTGTTTTGTTACTGTAGTTTGCACTTAAATAGAAAGATGACATGATAAATGTCTTGCCAGGGAAAAGCACACAAGCATTTTTAATCTCTGTTGATATAAATTCAATTTATTTTATAATAATATTTATCATCTATTTTATTACTTCTGGCAGGAAAATTTAAATTCCATTCCCACAATGATATAAGCATAAGAGAAAAAAGCTATCACTTATTATAAAATTCAACCAACTGCATAAACTTTTATAAATTAGAAAGGGTTAAGTAATGCAGTATTTCTTAAATATAATGAAAACATCCCCAGTTTAGTTTAGTCTGGTATGGATGAGTATTTCCAAATAATTTCCAAATAATATATTAAGTGTACCTAAATAGAGTTTCTTCTACACACTTTGGGGTAAAACATATTTCACTTCATACATGAAGTTTTTTTTTGTAAATGAAATGTTCTTTTGAGGGAAAGAAAGAAGAAACAGAAATTAAGAAAACTATGTTATATTCTAAGTTTCTAGGAGACAAAGATTAAGTCTTCACAGTTTAGTACCTTCTGATGATATTTTTTTTTTTTGCCTAGAAAGGTCTAATCACCAAGGCAGAATAAAAGTAAATTCAGTTTTTTGAAATGCAAGTGTTAGTTTATATCTTTATGAATGAATGTAGGTTGCATAACTGGTGGTTATTGCCTTTTTCGCAAATCTTTTAAAAAACATCCTTTTAAAGCTGAAAAAGTACTTACAAGTTAGACCTATTCCTACTCTCAACTGTGTGGAAACTGACTTCCAAAGATGTTACTTAACATCTTTCCAGTTCTACATTTAGTTATATGCAATTCTACTATAATTAAATGTTAGGTATCTGAATTAACGGAACCAACAAGAGCAGTTAATTTACTTTTTCTGTGGGGAATGAGTTGCATTTAGCTTTCCACATATACAA